CCCATTTTTTATTAAACTTTTACCCACTAGTTGTAATATTTACTGATGTTTCTTGGCTGAATTAACGATTACTATGATGGTTGCTAAATGGTGATTTTTCTAATTCCATCATTTCTCCATTTATTAGTTGGCATTTTATTGGAAGGAAAAGCTTTCTCTTCTCTTCATTTACTAGTATTTCTTTGTATCAGTGTGGACTTATGGATTCTTATCCTACTCAGTGATTACAATGTATTACTATCATTATTTATGTTGATAAATAAATTGTCCCATATTTGACCAGTGGAAGAGCTTTCAAACTCACTTCCGTGTCTTTGACATTTCCCCATCATTTTTTGACAGTGTTCATCTTTTTAATGATAGTTCTGCTGGGCTCAAGGGAAGGGGGACTCTTCTTAGGGTCTAAAGACCTGAGTTGCCATCTTCTTGGCTGCTTTCATTCCTAGTTGGGTATCCTTGGGAGAGTGGCCCTTCAGCTTTAAGGCTAAATATGGGGACAATTAGTCCTTCCTACCATCTGGAGCAGTTGCTGTGAAATTCGCGCTAACGGGGGAGATTATAATACAGGCTGATTTCCCTTCCTAGAGAATTTCCAGATCCTTCTGTGCATTGATGGCCTAATGAGTTGCAGAGGCACCATTTGAAAAATCTGTTTGCCTGTTCTGTTTGTAGCCTGTGAGAGTTATGTTTCAGTTAAATCAATATATGCTTGAGTGGCTTTTTCCTCGGCCAAATATTTGATGCCATGCAGGCTGGAATTTTTTCCACAAGTCTGCCTTGGCCTGGGTGGTATACAGTCAGTACAGCAAAGTCATTTCCTGGGAGGGTGAGCCCAGCCACTGTGTGATGCCTGTCTTATCTTCCACCCCCAACAAGGCCCCTTCTCAGCTGGCTTTGGGCCATACAAAGAGATGGAAACCGGTGTGGCTGGGCACGTGACTCCTACTCATTTCTGGTGAGCTATTTGGAGGCAGGAATCTAGAACCAGGAGTGACCCCCATGGCTGTCCAGGGTGCAGGTGGAGGTAGGAATGGCATGTGAAGTCATTCACAATCTGGCTGCAGCTTGTTTTTCCAATCTTAGAGGAGATTATGGATATGAAAGCGCCTGGTTTGGTGTCTGACCTAGGGTAGACGCTGAAAGTCCAGTCTCCTGCTACCTTCCTCCCCTACACTCAGCCCCAGCCACATGCCATGTGCCAGATGTTTCATGCACTGCCACCCCCTCCTGACTACCTTAACCTGCTGTATACTGTGCCTCATGTGAAGGCTTCTCTGAATACTTCCCAATCCAAAAACGAAAAGGCAAGCTGCAAATCAATATCAGCACTGATTGAATTAAATCTGTACAACAGGAAGCATGGTATCAGTCATATTAATCATGACATTTAGTCTTTATAAAAATTTCATTGCACTGGAAAACAATCTATGACTAAATTTTCCTGGGTCTGTATGAGGATTGCTGAGCACATTGTAGTAAACCTCAAACCAAAGAAGTTACTTATATGCAATTACTTTCAAAAACAAAAATTCTGAAAGAACCATAAAATTTTAAAATAAAAATGACATTTGATGTGGGATGAGCATACATTTTAAGATATTTAAAATGATATGGAGCAGCACCCCCAAACTAGGAGACCTGATGCCTTACAAGGGACCTAAGCCAGCCAGACCAGTTTGGGGTGAGGGGGTCAGAGGAGGTATTTGGAGAACACCACAGAGCTGGACAGCCAGTGTTTTGTAGAGAACTGAGCACCTCCCTGTGCTGGATGGTGGAATGGGAATCGGTCCCTAATTAGTTTATGACCCTGGGCAAATTCCATTCATCTCTGGATCTTCAATAAAACCAAAAAGTAAACATATATGCGAAAATCCCTGAAGCTCTCTCATTTCTCCAAAACCTCCTCTATCTGAAGATGCTGGACTTCATGATTGCTTGAAGCTTTGATTCCAAGAGCTATTTATTTTGAGCATCGGCTTCTTAGCCTATAATCCAGGACTGGACCTCTCTCACTGCTGGTGTCCCCTCTGGAGAGGAACAGACCAGTTGAGTTTTGTGAGCTGGTATTCTCCCCTCTTGAGACATAATTGAGGCCCTGGCCTGGGGACTGGGTAGAGAGAAAGAGCGGTTTTCTTCCTAATCCATTAGGATGCTGGGTTGTAGTTCTTGCTTTTAAGAATTACATGGGCCCGCCTGGTGTGGTTCAGTGGCTGAGCATCAACCTGTGAACCAGGAGGTCTCAGTTTGATTCCCTGTCAGGCACATGCTCAGGTTGCGGGCTTGATCCCCACGGTGGGGCATGCATGAGGCAGCTAATCAATGATTCTCTCACATCATTGATACTTCTATCTCTCTGTTTCTCTCCTTTCATCTCGAAAATCAATAAAAATATATTTTTTAAAAAAGAATTATACCAAAGGGAAGAACTCATGAAGAAAAGATATTCTGTAAGATGGAGTATTCGTTTTCTATGGTTGCTGCAAATTGGGTGGCTTAAAACGACAGATAAATGTACTCTCACAGCTCTGGAGGCCAGGAGTCTGAAGTCAGGCTCCCTCCCAAAGCTCTCAGGGAGAATCATCCTGGGCCTCTTCCAGCTTCTTATGGCGCCTGGTGCTTTTGGTTCGTGGCCGCAGCACTCCAATCTCTGCCTTGTCTTCTCTTTGTCTTTATGATGGCACTTGTCAGTGGATTTAGAGTGCACTTGAGTGATCCAGGATGACCTCATTTAGAGATCTTACATCTGCAAAGACCTTTTGTTTTTACAAATAAGGTCACATTCACAGTTTCTGGGAGTTAGGATACAGATATCTTTCGGGGGGCTACCATTCGCCCCCACCACAGGTGGCATGACCAATGGGCTACTGGCTCTTAGCTGAACTCTAGGGTGCTTGGGTGATGGTGGAGAGGGAGGGTACTGTTAACAGTGTGAGGGAGAGGCAAGGAGTGGAGTGCGCACATGGCCCCTGCTGACACTGCCGGTACTGTTATCCGCAGCCCTGCAGGTTAGTGTGGGCCCTTCTGAGTAACCATCTCTTTTCCTTTCCTAAGGAGGCTGTGTCAGTAAGTTGGACTTGGCTCTGCTACAGTCAAAAAATAACTCCCAAATCTCAATGGCTCACACACCAAATGTTTTTCCCTGCACTTGCCTGAGGTCTATGACAGGTTGACTGCAGGAGCGCTCCAGGTCACCTTCACTCTGGGACCAAATGGACCAACTCTACTTAATATATTAGCTGAGTACTTCATCTAAAGCTTTTTCCTAAACCTTGGTTTTGTTTCAGTGAGTTAATTTCTCTAATAGTGCAACCCACTCTGGGGGAAAGGAAGACTCTTTGAAAAGTTACATTAACTTTTACAGCCACCAGGGTATCATTTGGTACATTCCTACCCCAGCAATTATTAGCCTTTGAGTGCCTGCAGAGCTATCTTGAGCCTTCCCTGTGGGCTCCGTGGGGATTTATTACATTTCTAACGGGCAGGTCTGAAGACTTCCAGTGCTGGCTTACCAGAAGGGTTTGCTTCGGGGATTTCACAGACAGGGCTGCTCTGTCTTGTAAGGAAATTTACATCCCACGAAGCAGACTAGGGAATGACGATGGCAGATGATGGTAATAGGGTTGCATCAATATTACATGTCTACCAGGCAGAGAACCAATATGCTTTAATAGCACAGGTCTATTTACCCCCCTCCTCTTCCTTTATGAAGCTGGTTGGAGGTGAGTAGTATTTCCTTTTTACAGATAAGGAAGCAGAGGGTCAATATTTTATAGCCTCTGGAGCAGAGATCTTTAACACGGTCCTTGGATGGGGCTTCAGGGGTCTATAAACCCTTGATATGACCTGTAAAGACAAATATGTACTTGTATGTGCATTTGGGGGTGAGGGGAGAGCATGTGATTTTCATCAAATTCTACAATGTTCTGTGATATAAAAGACTTACCGTAGGGCTTTTATTCTTATACAATAATTGGCAGATTAGCCCAATTTGATGGTCAGCTCTTTTATGATGAGTTCTCTCATTTTAATTTTTTAAATTGAGGTAACAGTGGTTTATAATATATTTCGGCATCTGTATATACTGCATCGTGCTCACCACCAAAAGTCTCATTTCCATCCATCACTATGGTATTGATTCCCATTACCCATGTCATCCTCCCTCCACCCAGTTCTCTCGTTTTTTTCCTTGGTTGCTGACCTCCACAGCAGCAGACAAAATAGAAAGCAAGAACAGTTGTGGAGGAGTCACATTTACATAATTTCCCCATCCTGTCTCTGTCCTGGAAAGTTAAAATCTTACTTCTCCTCACGATGGTCCCACATATGTCAGAGTCCCAGTATCACAGACCAGAAAAAAACAAACAAAAAACCCACAAAAAACAAATGTCTTGAAAATGCTCAGGATTCATGGATGGGAGAACTGAAAGTGTTGATCACATTCACCTAATAAATCACTGATGGAGTAAGTGTTCATTCATTTTGAGAAATGGACTCCAATCTCAGTTGGGAGCCTCTTGCCAATATTTTTTAACAAACGACAATTCAGTATGAGTCATTTTTCTTGACATTATGCAAATGAGCGAACAAGACTGAGTGGGTTTCTGTCCAGAGCACAGGAAATGAAGCCAGTCTGGGGCCTCATGTTCCCTTGGGACACATTGTGGTGTCAGAAATGGGTCCTGGAAGAAGCAGGCCTTTGTTCGATTCTGATTCATGAGTGAGCTCCTCCTCTTGGCCATGGCCGGAGGGTGGCTCCCCACCCACATTCCCTGGAGGGCATCTCTTCAGACTCCCATCAGGCTCCGCTGCCTCTAGAACTTCCCTCCCCAGCCTTTACGTTAAGTTTTCCAGATTAGATGTTCTTAGCCAACCAGTCCCTCCCACATGAGACAGAAACCACAGTCAAAAGGCAGCTTATACCTGGGGACGGGAGAAGCACTGAACTAATGCTGTTAGTTTGCTGGATTTTATTTGTAAAATTTATTTATTTTGCCTAACAGGTGGACTTCATTCGGCCTGGAGGTACCCTGGACTTCTGTCACCTCCATGAGGGGTAAAACTAGCATTAATCTCACTGATGAGTGATCAGTTACAGAAACTGGCCATGGCCCAGTTTCTTCCAAAGGGACAGAACAGTACTTCCCCAGAGGGGTAGGTGATAAGACACATCAGAAATGGAGTGATTTATAGGAAGAACACGAATTTCTGCAGAATAGGAAAGCTGGGGGATCCTTTGAGATATTAGTCAGTCATTAGACAGACAGATGAGGAAACTGAGGACCAGGGAGGGGCAGTGGCTGCCCCAGGGCCAGAGCCAGGTGGTAGCAGAATTGGGCTAGAGACCTGGGTCTTGTGACTGAGCTGGGGTGCTTTGGGCTGCTCTGCACACCCCATCTTTCCATAGTCCTTCATACTCATGGAATTTACCTCAAACTTCAGTCTCCAAATTGTACCACAGGTTAATGTGAGTGTCCCCAAGTCAAAATTTCAAAATATGAGATCTGCCAAATAACATCTGAGGGATTTTTTTTCCCTCCCTGATTTCAGAGAGGAAGGGAGAGGGTGAGAAATACAGAAACATCAATGATGAGAGAGAAGCATTGATCGGCTGCCTCCTGCACGCCCCCCACTGGGGATTGAGCTGCAACCCAGGCATGTGCCTGATCAGGAATCCAACCATGACCTCCTGGTCGACCCTCAACCACTGAGCCAAGCCAGCCGGGCTCTGAGGGACTTTTGAACACACATTTCAGTGGAGAGTAGTTCCTCCCTTCTTTTGCAATCAGGGCACTGCGTGCTCCCTCTGCCTCTCAATACCTGGGTGCAGGCCAAGCCCAGAGCCGGGGGTCCCACTATGGCTTGGCTGCTGCAAGCTGTCCAAGGCCACTACTGTGGGAAGCGGTTCTCATCACCTGCCCTTGTTGACTTCAAATCACCCCTCCCCTTCCCCTCCCTACCCTGCTCCAGCCCCTCTCAGGTTGTGCAAGAGCCAAAGATTGTGATAAGGGAGCCACAGGCACAGACCCAACCCAGGCCAGAGGAGCTGGACCCGAGGAGGCAAGAGCATAACCCAGAACAATGCACTCAGAGTCCAGGGAGAGGAGGGGTGGCCCGGCAGCCAGAACGAAACCTCTGAGCTGTGTCTTGAATCGATAAAAGAAAAGGTGAGGGGTCTCTGGCAGGAGAAGAATGCAGGACTATTTATGACGCAGGTCTGGAAAGGGGGAGAACGAGGAACTCTTTTCCAACTTGGAGTGTGATTCATTCCCCACCCACCCCCCTCCCCGGGGGGAGGGGGGTGGCTGGGCCAGGGGGAGGGCGCGGGCAGCTCGGGCCACCGCGCACTCCAGCCGCCAGTGTATTTACCGAGGGTTATCAGCGGCTGTGCCGGCGATAAAGTTCATGAAAGGAGGCGGCGTCTCCGGCGGCGGGCGGGCCGCGCTCCTTTCTCACACTGATTAGGATCAGCCAGGGCTCTGCAAGCCGCAGTTAAGGATCTCTGGTGCCCGGAGCCGCGTCTCCCCCTTCCCCGCCCGCCCGCCGGCCGGCTGGCCGCCTGCTGCCCGCGTGGGAGCCGAGGTCAGGGCTGCAGCCGCAGGCGGTCAGGGGCGGGGAGGAGGCCCGCGGGGAGGCGGCCCTGCGGGGGAGGGAGCGCCTGGGCCGAGGGAGCCAGAGAAGAGCTGTCATCCAAATAAAATGCGCCTTCGCCAGGCTTAGGGCTGGAAGCCGGCGATAGGAATTCTTCTCCGCTGAAGGAGTGGCAAATTCGCATTCCTGCATTTACGTTTCTACATTCCTGTCCCATCATCTCACCTGTGTTTCCTTTGCTTGGCATTTGGCCTTGACTCATTTTTTTCTTTTTTTCCCTCCTTTTCATGACCATGTTTTGTTTATCCCGTCAGAAGATGGTAATGAAACACCTAGTTTTCAGGACACTTATCTTGGTGTTCCTGAGGTGGACTGAGATGGTCTACCTTTAAAATTAAATAGTCGTGGCCTTTTCTGAATTCCGGTAATGTAACTTTTCCATGTACATTTTTTCCATACTTTTTGAAAAGTCTTAAACCTTTAACACCTGCAGGCCACGAAACTAATCAACAAGTAGTAAGCAGTAGGGCTTCTTGCTCAGAGATGAGTGATGAGGAGACCTGGTCCTGGCCCCCAAGGTTCTGTGGGTCACAAGGACAGGCCCTGGAGTGGGGGAGTGGGGTACCTGCAGCCTACTCCCACCTCCCATTCCCCCCCCCCCCCCCCACACACACACACTCCGCTAGCTATAGGGAGCCAGAACACAAGGGCACTAACTTGTGTAATCCTCACAGTCATTTTAGGAAGGGACCATTATTATGCCATTTTGCAGATGGTAAAACTGAGAGGGTGAGTGACTGGTAGGGGGGAAATCACAGAGATGGACAAGGTAACTAACTTCTGGTGGAATCAGGAGGACCCAAATGCACACACGACATTACAATACAGGGTGCCATAGCCTGGCTGACCAAACTAGCATCCTTTCCTCTAGAGGAGAAAAGGACCCAAAATGACTTGTGTAAGTGCCTGATAGCGTAGACTGAGTGCCCCCCAAGTCTCCCACCTGAGGACAGAACCTTCTTGGAAACTGTGGGGACGGCTGCCTGGAGAAAAGGCCTTCTTGTCCTCTGCGCAGACTCTCTGGGTTGCCCCAGGAGCCCTCGGGGCTGCTCCTCCTGGCACTGCCGTCACCACTGGACACCCCAAGGGAGCCTGTCGGCCAAGGGAGACTCAGAGTTCATTGCCCTGCTCCTCCCCTGAGCAGGACTGTCTTCCTGGGTCAGCCAGGCATCTCAGTCTGCTTTCCCACAGAGCAAGCTCCTCCCAGGAGCTACTTGTTAGACAGACGTGCTCAGACACGTCAGACTCCAGCCCAGGTTCAGACTAGGACCTTGGTTCCCCTAATAACTAGCAAGTGCTCGGTCATTTTGATGAGAGATTCTGATCAATTGGAAGGCCAAAACGAGGCTGTGGATATAAACGATGGAATGATTTTACTGAGTGAAAGGAAGGATTTCTTACATGGGGGTTCTAGCAAGAAAGTTATTTCAATCTAAGGAAAAGCCCGCCACCTTTCCTGAATAGTTCAGGAGCCCTACTTCTTGCGAAGCTGAGCTCTTGGTGTTCCTGAGGTGGACTGAGATGGTCTACCTTTAAAATTAAATAGTCGTGGCCTTTTCTGAATTCCGGTAATGTAACTTTTCCATGTACATTTTTTCCATACTTTTTGAAAAGTCTTAAACCTTTAACACCTGCAGGCAACGAAACTAATGAACAAGTAGTAAACAGATATGAATGGGGAAGCTTGAAAACCACCGATCATGCTGAGTTTGTTGCCTTTTTTAGAGAACATGTGTGCTTGTGGTTTTATACTGCCTGCCCATAATGTAGCCATATTTTCTGCTATTAAAATTGTTCCTAGTTCATGGGTGGAATGAAACAGACCATTATTCCCAGGTGTTCCCGGAAGAGCCTCATGTTTCAGGAAGCGCACTCACGATTTTCAGTTCTCGGCCACCTGAGTACACTTGAGCACAGCTATTGTAGACTCGCAGGTATTAACTCCCCTTTCCTCCTCCCCGCTCTCTCTGCTCTTTCCCATCATGGCCCAGACTGACTCCCGACCTCTGCCAGGCTAAAGATAACCTCTCCATGTGGGATATCACCCACAGGCTAAATTTATTCTCGGGTGAGTTGGGGTTACCCTGACCGGTGACTCCAGGCAAGCATTTGAGCACCCATGGCTCTATGTCCTCCCAAGAGATGGAAGGGGCTTGGGAGAGGGAGGGGACCCACAGGGATGAGTGGGGAGGGACAGGAATGGAAGAAGCAGATGAGGTTGACAGGAAGCTGGCGAAGGGGCTTGAGGACAAGGGTGACACGCTGTGAGTGCGGCATAAGCTGAGTTAGTCTGAAGGATTTGACTGCTTCCAGCAAAGATTCCTTTTCCGTCCGTTATAATGTTACTGTAATACAACCCCCAGAGGGAAAAGCCCAGTGCTAATCAGGGATCTAGAAGTCCGTGGACTTGATGTGCAGAATGGGGTGTTTAATTTTATGATGTGGCTATGGGTTACAGGAGAGACTAATAAAAAAAACTCCATAAAACGTGGCTTGGAGCAATGGGGTTGCAGCCTCTGCCAGACGGTCAGCCTTGCTCAGAAGGGGTTTCAGAGCAGGGCTGATGTCGAGCGGGGGTGCACTGGTATGGCCATACTGGTTCTTAAAATACTGAAAGCCCTCTGTACCGCCTGTTAACGAGTGCTGCTTCTAGCTTCGTGAGGGCTGCCCTGCTGCACTGGCTGCTCAGCCCCCACTGTGGGACTTCCCCAGGATCTAGCCCCCACACACAGAGATCCTGCAGATCCTGCTTATGCCCTGTCTCCAGCAGCAACACACTGCTTCAGAGTGGCTGATGTCATGCAGGAGAGGCTGTTAAGTACTCGAAATATCACCCGTCCCACCACATGTCTGCCTGGGAACAGGCCCGTCAGATCCCCGTGGAACAGACCAGGGGCACATTCCATAAGAATAAAACTCTCCTTCACAGATCCCAGGCCAGTCCAGGGGCCCAAAGGAGGTTTTCTTCCGAGATGCCTCTCGCTTCCCCTGTTGTTGCAAGAACACACCCAGCATTCCGTTGGATCATACTAGTATTTGGCTGCCTCAGAGGAGAGTTTTAATGGGTGCAGCAATGACTTCAGGATTGAAGAATATTTTTGGAACAAAGGGACACATTTGCAGAAGGTTTTCCAATCAGGAATTACATTTGCCAAGAGTCTGAATTAGAAGGCTACTTAGAGGACATGCAGTCTGTCTTCACAGACAGCCTAGACCCTTTCAGATCCACCCTCCTCAGGAAACAGCCAGCCCCTTCCAGGTCACGTCCACTGACCGGCAGCTCAGCTCGTTGAAGAAGCCCACCGTATGAACCAACGGGAGCGGAAATCTTCCTCAACAAGTCCAAGGGTGAACCCCATTTATTTCCTATACGTCTCAAATTTTGGTCCCTCAAGTAGGTGGAATTGCAAGCCCAACGATGGCCCAAAGCAAGCAGTGCCGTCTACTCACACATACTATAGTTGTATCAAATGAGCTGAGAGGTCTTGCGATCATTCATTCATTCAGCCAACATTTATTGAGCAGCCGCTAAGTGCCAGACAGTGTTTCTGGTGCTGGAGATTCGGCGGGGAAGTAGACTTGGCTCTGCTCTAAGAGCCTGTCCCACTGGGGGCAGCACTGGAGAGCCGGGGAGACCAGCGACGTCCGGAATGGCTGAATTTTGCTTCTGAACCTCATGTCAGGCCTGGGTCCATCCTAGATAGGGCTGTCTTGTGTGACTCTGAGCAAGAAGCTTCTTCTGTCTATGGGCCTCCTCTGCCCCCATAGGTTACTGGTGAGTCCACCGAGAGCATGGCGTTCCCCAGACATGTTCTTATTGCGCAGACAATGAGATGGCAGGCCAGCGGCTCTGTGCCCGCTTTCCTCACACTCCCTAAAAGTGCTGTGACACCAAACTACATCTTCTAATGCATTTTGCTGAATTAGCAATTGGACAGAACAATTCTTATATCTTTATCAAGAATATTTCTTTTTCAAGAAATATTAGACAATAAAATGATTTGTAAATCCATCATTGTATATCTGTGGATGTGGAAAATTTTACACATATACATGCACACATATATGCATTTTTGTAATCTGCCTTTCTCATCCAGTTATTTCCCCAGTGAGCACAATTTCAAAGTAAATCCCTTTATTTAAAAATATTTTGCCCTGGCCGGTGTGACTCAGTGGTTAGAGTGTTGGCCAATGCATCAAAGGGTCACAGGTTTGTTCCCCAGTCAAAGGCACATAACTGGGTTGTAGGTTTGATCCCCAGCCCTGGTCAGAGTTCTTGTGAGTAGCAACTAATATATGTGTCTCTCACATTGACTTTTTTTCTCTTTCCCCGCCCCTCCCTTTCACTCTCTCTGAAAAATCAATGAAAAAAGTATTCTCAAGTGAGGATTAACAAAAATAATAAATATTTTGTTAAGCCTTGGCCAGTGTGGCTCGGTTGGGCATCGTCCTGTGCACCTAAAGGTTGCTGGTTTTAATCCCACTTAGGGCTTGATCCCTCCATCGGGAGCATACAGGAGGCGGCAGCTTATAGATGTTTTGCTCTCATATCAATGTTTCTCTCCCCCCCTCCCCCTCTCTCTCTCTCTCTCCATCCCTCTCTTCCTCTCTCTCTAAAAATCTTTTTAAAAATTTCATGAATGTACACAACTCTGAAGGCCTTCCCCCAATGAAACCAGTGGGGAATAAAGAGTTTCATCATCTTAGAAGTAAATGAGGCAAAGCCAGGGACAGCAGATCAAGTTTGTCCTTTATTTATATTAAGAGGTTGGGAGTGTGATGGAGATTTTCATAAGCTGGTGTCCTGGCTGCCCTTAACTCCCAGATCCAATTTAGTGGTTCTCCTGACCAGGTACCTGGGAATGAAGGAGGTGGAGCCTGAAGGAGCAAGAGCAAACCTGGCTCTGTTAGGGACCTGGAGGGAGCTGGCGCAGGACTTTCATCCTCTGAGCCAATGGACGGAGAATGTGGGGATGTGTGGGCCTTAGGCTACCTCAGCAAGAGTGAGTCCCCTGGTCCCAGGTGGCTGAGAAGAAGCTGAACCTGGGAGACAGAGCAGGGTGGCTTCCTTCCTGTGGAGCCTTGATCGGGACAGACTCCTATGTGCAGCTTCTTATAGGACTGTCATCACTTAAGGAAGGCCCAGAAGCTGGCCCTGAGCTTCAGAGAACAAATAAGAGAAAACTGTGCATCCCAAGGGCTCAGCAGGCAAAGAGAGGGAGAAAGAGAACCCACCAGAAAGAACACTGCAAGAGTAGACAGCCTGAGCAGGAGCAACAAGGACATTCAAACGCAGTACAAAATAATAATAATAATAATAATAATAATAATAATAATAATAATAAATCCTGGATCTAAAACATTTTAACTAAACTACTCATTGGATAAATTAAAACAGAAAATAATTTGGATTTAGAAGATCAAGTGTGAGAATAACCCCAACATAGAACAAAAATAAAAAGAGGGGATAAGGACACATACATAATAACTTAATCAATAAAAAAATAAAAATTAAAAAATAAAAAGAGATGGAAATCATGAGAGCAAAATAAGAGACTAGGAAGTTAGACCCAGGAGACCTAAGATGTCAATAATAGGAATTCCAGGAGGAGGAGGAAAACAAACCAATGAAGGAGAGGGGATAATTAGACAGGTGACAAAAAGAGTTGGGTCTGAGGTTTAAAGAGAACTCATGGGGTCACCAGGAAGGAAAGCCACATACCAATAAAATTCTTGAACAGCAGGTATAAAGAGAACCTCTTGCCCATTTCAATACAAGGAGAAAAACATTAATTACACAGGAAAAGGAAAGAGATGGGTGTCATGTTTCACACCTATATTAATGGGAACTTGAAGACATCTATAACATTCCAGAGCTAGCCAAAACACTTCTTGCTGGTCAAGAGGGGAAAGAAGTATTGCCCAGGTATCCAGGCACCTGTCTGAGAAAAACACTCTAGAAAGAAACTCAAGCAAATGAAAGAAAAAAATAAACTGAAATACATAACTCAAAATAGGAGAAGGTGATGAAGAAAAAAGAAGTTGGTGGTGGGCAACTGGGACTCTCTCTATCCCTCTCTCTTTCCCTCTCTCTCTCTCTCTCTCTCTCTGTATATTTGGAGCTAGAGTTGTTCTGAATTGAGGTGCACCTGGCTTTCTCAACCCAGCATTGACTAGTAGTTGCATGGAGGGTGCCAGGGAAGGGAGCAAACCTGAGGTGTGACAGTTCCCTTCAGCTCCAGGCAATTGCTAAGGAGAGAGACTTAGCTGGGATCTGAGCTGTCAGTAGCCAACACTCCTTCAGTTGGAGGTGGGTTGGGGAGAAGGCAGGGGGTGCAGCATACAGGCTCTGCACCCAGCATCCTGCACAATGCACACATGGTACCATTTATGTGAAATTATCCATCCATACTTACATATGTATATGCCATGGTTGCTGGGCAGTGTTTAACAATCGGCTCTGGTGAGTGGTGGTGGTGGTGGGGGGGGGGGGGGGGAGATTGCGCTGATTTGTAGCTCCTGATGATTTTTGGTATAGATACTCCTATCATGGCTGATATCAAACTCCCAGTCTGTGGCCACTGACCTGGAGCTGGGACAAGATGCACGCAACTGCCTCTCATGAGCTGGTGCAGGCTGGCTCCTCCCCACCACTGTGTGCACAGGAGATTTAGGGGATGCAGATGCGGGAGGGGGAGTGTGAGGAGCGGCGGTGGGAACATCTGGGAGTTTTGTTCATTGGGAGTACTATGACACTGGGAGTTTTTTCCCCTCGAATCCTTTTCCCCTTTTTGTGGTCACCTTCCTAACCCTTGTTCCTACAGCCCCTTCCTCCCCCCCCCCCGGCCCCCCCCCCCCCCAGTACTTGGTATTCTTTGTAGGTAGTTTGCCAGAAGGAATCTCAAATCCTTGTTCATACTCAAGTCATGTGACCACCAGATCAAGAGGCTGCTTCTGGCAGGCGGTTGAGGATCAAGGAGAGCGCGTGGAGGGGCTGGCAAGCCTCTGGAAGGGGCCAGTGGGTACTCGCTCTGGCTTTGCTCCACATATGGTCTCTGTTGCAACTACGAATTCCCCGCAGGACATAGTTTGCTGACTTGCTGTAAATAATACCATTGTATCATAAACCTCGGTGTAAGTGTTAATTATGGCTATTTCAAAGGGCCCAGAGGAAAGAACCCCTTAACTCCAGACAATCAGACCAACCAACTCAGAGGAGGGATTTAGGCCTTGGGGGAGGCTTTGTGGTTCAGCTGGCTTTGTGAATTAGCCTTGTTCAGGAATGTGTTTTTAACTTCTTTCTCTCCAGGGCTTAAGTAAGAGAGGGAAAGAGAACCCCAGGACTAAAGAAAAGTCTCCCCACCCGCCTCTAAAACCCCCTAATTCTACTAAAAGCCCCTTTATTTTTTATCTCGGTTATAGACCTGGCAGAGGCGGGCACTCACCCCTGCACCAGCTCTGAAGAAAGGAGTAGTAAACAGATGAACAGCCCAGCTGGTGTGGCTCAGCGGTTGGTTGAGCGTTGACCCAGGAACCAAGGGGTCGCTGGTCCTGTTCGCGATGATGTTCCTCTCTCATCAATGTTTCTATCTCCCTATCCCTTTCCCTTCCTCTCTCTAAAAATCAATAAAAATATATTTAGAAAAACAAAATAGATGAACAGAGTAAACCAGGTCAGGCAGGCAGAACCTATCTATGGCTGAGAGATTAAACACTTCTTCAGCTTTCCAGCAAGTGAACTATTTGAATGTTAATATGAAATCCCATGAGTTTTCTATTTATGAAAACGGACCATGTAGGACCTTTTGGCGACACTTGCTGAACACTTCTAGCATCTGTGTGCAGGGTCTGAGCTTTCTAAGCTACAGGTCTTGCCTTTTAACTCCACAAGGTTGAGGGGCCAATGATAATTTGGCTTCCAGTTGTGTGTGTGTGTGTGTGTGTGTGTGTGTGTGTGTGAGAGAGAGAGAGAGAGAGAGAGAGAGAGATTGAGATTTTCCTATGGAAAAGTCCTTGCACCATCATTACTTAGTTGATTTTCCCTCTGGTGACCGGGAAGCTCAGAGCTGAATTTGGTGTCCAGACAAGCCCAACCTGGTTATGTTGCAATTATCTTTCAGTTATTCTCAATTTTCTGGTTTGTTGATGCCTATGGGAATTTGATGGAAGCAAAGAGGAACCCCCCCAGGAAGCTTTCACATACTAGTATTCTCACAGAGTATAGACATAGAGTGGATTCTGATGGCTTATTTTGGAAAATTTCAACTACCCTATTTTATGTTTTATTTGTGTTACTTTCTGCTGTTCAAAATGCTGATGTACATAACGACTTCAAGACAGAAGAGACTGGACCCTGTGGCCGGTTTGTTTGTTTTAGGCGAAGGAGAAGCGCTAGTCTACACTTTCTGAGGAAGAGCATTTCTCCGGGAGGTATCACAGTTTAGTCCTCCAGCATTGGGGGAAAGCATGGGACTAAATGGAAGCCCTGCTATCACCAGCCAGTTCTGAACAGAAATTTACTAATCCCCTCCCTTCCTGTGGGTGGTGGGAGATTAAATGAAAGACTCAGTATTGGCGGCGCTGGCTACTCAGTAACGCATGTGCAGAGGAGGGCACCTGGAGAGAGTGGTTCCTCAGGATCCACCACTGTTAGCACGCAGGTTCAACCATGACCGAGGGATGGACATGCCAAGGCCACCCCCTTGCCTCGCACAGCAATTGCCGCTTGCTGATGACCCAACAATGTGGTGCCTCCATTTGTTTCTTGCTGTTCCAAGAAAAAGGTCTACGTTTAGATAAGGCTCCAACCGTGGCCTTACAAAAAAGACCAATCCCAGATGGAAAAGGCAGTTCCTTCAATATAACATTGATTATTTTGGTGATTGAATCGTTTCTTCTTTGCATAAAGAATTCATGAGAAGATGTGAGTGCAGTGCTTTCCTCTGCACACTTGCTTTCCATTACGTGGATCTTTCATGCTGGAACGGATTTGCAGCCCCGCCAAAGCGGAGAGTGTTGCTGGCGGAGAGATGTTCACGGTCTGGTGTTAATGCAAAAATGAGAAGACCCGTGGCACTGTTGCAGGTCAGACCATCCATAGAATTTTATTTTGCCTCCCTCCCTTCCTCCTCCCTCCCTTGCTCCCTCTCTCTCTTCCTTCATTTCATTTCTTTTTTTTTTTTTACTTTCTGTCAATCTAAAGCAGTTGTTCTCAACCTTCTGGCCCTTTAAATACAGTTCCTCATGTTGTGAGCCAACCATAAAATTATTTTCGTTGCTACTTCATAACTGTCATGTTGCTACTGTTATGAATCGTAATGTAAATATCTGATATGCAGGATGGTCTTAGGCAACCCCTGTGAAAGGGTTGTTCAACCGCCAAAGGAGTCGCGACCCACAGGTTGAGAACCGCTGAAAAATCAAGAATGGTTTGACTCCTTAGACAATACATATTTTCCAGAAAGTCTCCATTTTATACATTTCCACCAGGTAATACAGAATTCTGAAAGCATTGAAAGAATAAAGACTTTTTTTTTTTTTTTTGGAAATTCATTTATAAGATGCACAAGAAGGATTCATCACAGAAACTTCCACCAATCTTTAAAAAAAAACACCAAAAAACAGGCTTCAGCAACTCCCTTGAGATGGGTGTTAGCATTATTTGATTTTCCAGATGAGGTTTAGAGAAGTTAAGCAACTTGCTCAAGGTCAATAGCCAGTAAAGCAACAGCACCAAAACTGGGACGCAGTTCTGCTGCTGCTGAAGTGAATGCTCCAGTCTATACCACCCGGCCAGTCTAATTGGTTATAGTTCTTAATTAGGTGTGATCAGAAAGCCCACAGCAGATCCATGGTGCAGGCCCTGCAGGGGACAGTGCACAGTGGTGGGACGCTGCCTAGGGTATGGGAGCAGGGGCTAGGAGAGGCAGCAAACGCGTGGGTGAGAGAGAAACCTTGATGGAGGCCAGAGTGACTGGTTACCTGGCAAAACGGCAAAAGGGGAAATTGGACACATTGATCTAGAAAAAGATGGTCCGTGAAAGAAATCGAGGTGGTTCCTTTATCTCCTGAAAGGGCGAGGACTGCACCCTCCATCTTGCCCTGGGTCCTCCATTTTTGGGCAGAGCCATGTGCTCGGTGGGGCTTCTTCCCGGAAGAAGCCTCTGCTAGCCACACCCAGGATTACTCTGGACTAACCAATGATAATCAAGGGAAGTGCACGCCATCACTATGACCACATCCTGTGTAATGAGACACCGACTCGCGCCTGGCCAATCGGCGGGGCCCACAGTCCCCTCTCCTGCCCTCACTCCACCCCCCTATAAAACCCACAGTCCCATCAGGCTTTGCTCTCTGCCACTGGGCTTACCATTGCATCGGTGAGTGTGGTCGGGGAGCCGAACTAGTTCGAAATGAAGGACTCTTTGCTTTTGCATCGGACTCGCTGGCTCCCTGGTGGGCTCTTGGGAATCTTGAAATCTGGGCATAACACTCCTCAAAGACTTCAGGAGCTCTGTGTGTGAGCCTGTTTCAGAGTAACTGAAAGGCTGTGGAGTTTCTAGGACTTCAGAGGAAGAACAGTGGGCCCCAGGGAGATGGAGGTGAACGGGTAACATTCTACCAAGGTGTAGAAATAAGGACCCAGGAGGCCAGGGCCCCAGCCTCAGGCAGGGTGGGGCTGGCACAGGAAGAAGGCACTCTGTGGATTGATGGGAAAGGATGGTCGTTGGTTTCCGATGGTCACTTGTCTCACGAGGCGTGTGATGAATTGTTCTCACTAGCTGAGCTCCCCATCATCGCTGCAAACAGGGCTCGCAAGAGCTGGGCCAAGGACAAGGGGAAGCAGTGCTTTGGGTTTGGTGGCGTAGATTCTATAAGACAGTGGCTTCCATACTTTTTCAGAAAAGGACTCATAATGAGGAGTCAGTGACACATACATACATATGAAACTAAAGCAACATTTCATAGTACAGTACTTACCCTTAGTGTGCAAGATACATCCTGGTATTTTCTATTATCTTCTCTCTCATTTCAGCAAAAGTGCTGGCTCCTCTCACAAAATTGACCTCTGAATTCATTAAAGGGTCATGACTTATTGAGTGAAAAATTAGGGTTCTGAGTTGTACCATGTATCAACAAAACAGAAAGTCCGCAGAGTCATTATTTGGGTGCTTAGTAGCCATAATCAACATCATGGATGTTGCATATAGAATTTTTTCCAAGGAGAAAAGATTTTAAAAAGCGAGAGAGAGGTATGTTTTAATCCTGACCAACCTCTGCCCTTATAGCCTGTGAAGAACTCCCACTGTGGCAGGTTTGGGGTCTTCCAGGATGTAACTGGGAGCCTGTGCCGAGTAAGTGCAGGAGTTTCCTGAGTATCGTGCAAGTTCAGTCTTGCTAAGCCTGAGATAGGCCGGCATCTCTCCCGAGCTTCCCAGGACCCCTTGGCCGTGCACACAAAGAGAACCAGGCTTTTCTTGTTTGGGCCTTTGCTCCTTCCTATTTGATTGAACTTGAAGAGGAACTGTTTGCCTTTAGCCGCACATCCTGAATCGTAATCAGGATGCTGCTGGCACAGAAAACCTGCTCCCACCCTCGCCTGAAATAACTGAACAGGGAAGCAGAGTTCCTCCCCTTCCCAACCTTAAAGAAAGAGGCTCATAATTCATGGTGTGCTGGCGATACATCAAAAGTCAATTCAGTCACTTACAGTAAAATCGAGGAGGGCAGAACAATGAATATAAAGTGAGATTCAAACACCTCATTAAAGGAGCAAACGGTTCAGTCGACAGCAGAATAATGAAGCTTACATATTTGTCAGCCAGAGTCCAGTGGCCTCCAGAGATGCGTCCTCATCTGTAGGATATGCAAGAGGCACAAGCCACACCCTCAGCCTTTTCCATTCTTAAGCAAGTGTGCCTTGCTCAAATTGTCTACCAGGATGGTGCTGCTAGGGTATGTCAGAGTCCTAGGGCTGCTGTAACAAGTTACCATAACACAACAGGAAGTTGTGGAGGCCAGAGCGTGAAATCAAGGTGTTGGCGGGGCCTTGATCCCTTGGGATTCCCCAGAGGAGAATCCTTCCTAGCCTCTTCCAGCTTCTGGTGGCTGCAGGCATTCCTTGGCTTGTGGGTGCATGACTCCACTCTGTGCCTCTGGCTTTACACTGCCCTCTTCTTCCGGAGTGTCTCTCCTCCGTGTGTCTCCTATAAGGGTGCTTGTCATTGGATTGAGGGCCCACCTGGGTCATCCAAGCTGACCTCACCTGGAGATTCTTAATTTAATTACATTCACAAAGACCCTTTTCCTAAATAAAGTCACATTCATAGTAATGGGGGTGAAGGGTTGACATATCTTTTGGGGGCACCATGTAGGTACAGAGGATACGAAGTAGGAAATGACAGGGTTGCTGTTCTCAAGGAACTCAGGCTAGTGGGGGAGCAAATCGTCAGATCACTATGTCAAAGGGATAGCCACACACAGAGCTGCGTGCCACGTGCTGAGTTTGTACTGTGCGTTGATGTGGAGGTGATGGTGAGGGAGGGACGGGGTGTATATTTTTTAAGCCTCTGAACTCAACTATTTTCTAGCATCTAGAAATCACGATAGAAAGCCATCAGGTTGAAAAAACAAGTCCAGTTTGAATGGAGAGGATTAAAAATAATTCATAATTTAAAATAATTCATAATTAAAAACTTAGGGGAAACTAATAGAAGAAAATTCTTTTTTTTTTTTTTTAAGTTTTTATTTATTTTAGAAGGAGAGGAAGGGAGAGGGAGAGAAAGAAACATGGATTGGTTGTGTCCCATAAGCACTCCAACCGGAAACTGAACGTGTAACCTGGGCAAGTGCCCTGACCGGGATTTGAACTGGCGACCTTTTGGTGCACGGGCCCACTCTCGACACACTGAGCCACACCGGAGGGTGAGGAGAAAATTGGTGAAGCAGTTTCTTGACCTGTGTTTTATGGATTCTGGGGGGAGGTAAGGATGGGTGTCAGGGACCAGGAAGACTCTAAATTTATATATAAACTTTTGTGGTGTGTGTGTTTGTATCATCATTGTTGGGGGAAGGTTTATTGTTTGAGGCACTCTCCTCTGAATCTCATGACTCCCTTCCTCAAGATTAAACACCATTGCTTAAAACTAGAGACATATTTGTACCCATTATACCTCTTGTAAATGGGCACAAAGAGCCAAACAGAGTGTATTGCTGATGCATCATTAGTACTTGCAAAATCTGAGTTTTATAAATACAAGTTATATACTACTCTCCCTTTATAGTCATTAAGTAATTTCTGAATTACTTCTTTTTCTATTTTAGTTAAATTCTTAGACTTTTCACAGGCTTGGTTGCTCATGTGAATAAAACTGTTTTCTCTTGTACTAATTTAAAACTGAAATAATAATTTTGGCTATCCTTCTAGATTATAAAAATAACAGACTCACTATATACAACTTGCACAATACAGAAATGTATAAAGAAGAAAATAAAATCACCATTAACCCATGCTCCAGAGGTAGCCACCAATAATATTTTGATGAATTTCTTGCTTTTGGTAGGTATGCATTTGTATGTTTGCATATATATGAAACAAAATTGAATAAGACTGAATGTGCAGGTTTATGTTATTGCAAAAAAAAGAGCACTTCAAACTTCTTGACCTTTTAATGCTGACCCAGTTTTCTTGAAGAAGCATTTGATTGGGTTTCTCCAGCCTTTGTGATAAATACTGTTGTTAAAATCACTTTTTTAGGTTGTAGTGAAGATATCTTTCCCTTGAAATCTCCCATCTCTTCTTAGTGCTTAGTACCCTAAGTAATATTATTTATTTAAATGCATAGCATTACAATTTATTTTTCCTATTAGGATGGGTAAGAAAAAAATTTAAGTCCATATTCATTATTGAGCATGGAACTGGGGCACAGCTAACACCACAGTGCTGAAAATCTGGGGGGTGGGGTTGGGCGTAGGGAAACCTAAATAAAATGCTTGTTTATGTGTAGCTTGGTTTTATAGGTTTGCTGTTTGGTGAAATCAGACTAGTGCAAAGGAAACATGCTAAGGCTGTCTGCTTGAGCCTACTTCCATTAGGGCCAGTTGGTTGCCACGGAGACATCACAGGAGCAGAGGAGAGAAGAGGAGCCCAACGTGAGTGGGGCCTTCGGAGGCGGGCAGAGCGACACTTGCCCTCTGACTTTCAGTGGCACTTGGTAAGGCCCTAATCACATTTTGATTTGAAGGAGAGTTATCTGTTTGCTTACGTTAATCTATGTAAAGCCCCAGCCAAGTGTCTTGCACTTAATAGGCACAAAACAAATACGGGTTCTCTCCTGTTGTATAAGACAATGAGTTCTTGGGAGGTATCTGCATTGTTCTGAGCAGTAAATAAGGGCATGGGGCTTGGACCCATACAAACTTGCTTAGGGTCTTGAGTTTGCCTCTTATTAGTGTTGTGACCTTGGAAACTTGCTTAAGGCCTCTGATCCCATTTTCTCACCTATGAAATTGGGATAGTAATAGTTCCCACCTCTTGGGATATTAAAAAGATCTATTAAAAATATTGTGATAGTAGCTAACATGTATCAAAGTCTTACTGCATTCTGAGTACTATATATATATTTGATTTCAGAGAGGAAAGGAGAGGGAGAGAGAGAAACATCAATGATGAAAGAGAATCATTGATCAGCTGCCTCCTGCACGCCCCCCCTACTGGGGATGGAGCCCACAACCCTGGAATGTGCCCTGACCAGGAATCAAACTGTGACCTCCTGGTTCATAGGTCAATGCTCAACTACCGAACCACATGCCCAAGTGTTTTATTTATTTTTTTTAAGTGCTTGGGGTATAACCATCTTAAGCTAGGTACTAGCACCCCCATTTTGCAGATAAGAAAACTGACACACAGAGAAGTTGAGTAACACGCCCAAGGTCACACAGCTATTAAATAGGTAGACTTGGGATTTGAACTGAGGAAGTTAGTACTCTCTCTGGTATCTTTATATTCCCCTTTGCACATGGCCATCCCCTCATCACACGTTGTGTGACTACACATCTGGTAAACGCTTGCTGAATAACATCTACAGGAATGCCTTTCCAGGTTGCTCATCAGAAGAGCACTAAATGTATTCCTGTTGCGGATGAGAAAATGCTCTGTTGTTCAGTCCTTTGCAACAGTAACCTCGCATTTGAATAAGCTCAAGGAAGAAGGGCTGGTCTGGTGAAGATCTCTGCCTTTCCCTGTCCCAATCAGCTGCTGAGTTGGGCTGCTGCCAGATTGATGACTCTTCTCCCAAATGCAAGAGGGTGAAGCATGAGGGTGTTACCAGGAACTGTGAGACCTGGACAGGCTTGCAGGGCTGGGCACCCAGCCGAGTCACACCCAAATGGTGGGCGCCTGCCAGCTTCAGGGCTAAGCTATTGCCCCTGAGAGGCTGGGCAGGGCAGGCAGCTCTTTGCTTGCTGATTCTCTCGTCTCCCTGGGCAACAGCCTGGAGCAGACTGTGGTCACCCGTGGGAATGCTCCTCCTGAGTCAGCGGGGCCTGCAATGCCTCAGGGTGTGGCTGGCTGTGTGCTCCTGTGGGCCCTACACCGATGGCTTTTATCTCAAGGATGTCACTGCGCCATCATGGGTTCGGGGCTGGAGCTGCAGGACAGAAGCTGCTTGTTTTGAGCCCAATTAAGTCCCCAGAAAGTGCCAACTTTAAGGGCCTTTCCTTGGGCTGTGGCTGTATCCATGAGGTGTTTAAGATGAGTATATTTTAAGATAGTGTATCAGTGCACGGTCATCAGAAAGAGACTAGAGACCTTCATTCTAGAATCAACTCACTCTCTGATTTGTTGCATAAATTTGGAAGATCACTTCCTCTCCTCCAGGCCTCAGTTTCTTGTCTGAAAGTAACTCCTGCCCTACCTATGTCACTGGATTATGCTGAGAACTAAATGAGATGAACGCAAAAATGGTCAATAAACGGTAAGGTGTTGCCCGAAAGCAAGGAACCATTTGTTTTCATGTGGTTGGCTCTTACAGCCCTGGCTCCTGTTGGCTGCTTTCTGTTTGAAGAGTTTCTGGCCATAGCCAGCTTTGAAGGGCTGGGGTTTGATTTTATTAAGAGACATGGCTGGATTCCTGACCTTAAATGCCAGCAAGGATTTCTAAGAGGGAGGAAGGTCTCAGGGGGCTGGTGTTGGAGGTCATGGGATCCAGCCACTCCTGCCTGGTCTGGGAGGCTACCTGTTTCCAATTTCAGTAGATGGGGCTCTCGTGTTATTAAGGTTTGCTTACTCGTACCTCTCACTCTTCCGTGGTGCTCTTTGGGAATGCTTCTGTTTTAGGGGCACGTATTCGTGGTGAGGGCCACTCTCAGGGTGAAGATTTCCTTGGGAGGGTGAACAGCTGCACTTACAGAGAGCTGAAGAGGTGGAGACTCCCAAACAAGGTTAAATCTCAGTAATGACCAACGTGAGGGGGAGGAGGGAGAAAGGTGATGCTTGTCCAAGAGTAGCTATGCTGGCTTCGATACCGTCACCATAGATTTGTGGCAGGAACAACATAAACTTCTCAGCTGATTTTTGGGGGGTTGGAGGGACGACTCTTGTTTTTATGCATCTAGATATGGCTGCTATCGCACCAGAATAGCCTACTGATGGCTGCACAATGGTAGAAAGAGTGAGGCCTGGCCCCCAGGACTTCCGCACTCAATACCAACCAGGGTGTGTCTCAGGACATTGGAAAGGAGAGTGACAGACTGGGACTTATGTTACAGAAAACAAAGGGATGTTTACTGTGGACATTAGACTTAGCTTCCTCCACCTGCGAGCCCGTCATGGGGAAGAGTAGCCTACTCGGTTAGCGCCCAACTTTCCCTCCTCCTCCCCTCTCTCCAGGGGAAAAAATTGGCTCATTAGGAGGAAAAACTTCCTATAAAGTCAAGGCACCTGAAAGTGGTGAAGCAGAAACCATCTGACCACATTGTTACAGAAGAGCCAAGAATACCAAGCACGCTTCCTAGAGAAAGGGAGGGACCCCGTTTATTAACACTAGTGGACTCTGGGAATCATTTACAAATCAGAGTGAAGAAACACGCAGAGAGCCTGTCTTTATCTTGCAGATATGCCCCCTGCCCCCTTCGTGGCCCTGCAGGAAGGCCCCCAGGTGTCAGGCCACATCCCATGGTCCGTGGTCCGTGCTGGCACCAGCATCACAACCTTGCCCCCACACACCCCCCCCCACCCCCCGCCCAGGGCAGTTCATTGTTCACAGTTTCTATGGCCTGACATGCCTTGCAGGACCAGTTTCCTCCTCAACATGAAGGAGCCATGTGGAGGGGATGCAGAGACAGAATGGGTTGTCCTAGATCAGTGATGGCGAACCTATGACACGTGCGTCAGAGGTGACATGCGAACTCATTTTTTTGGTTGATTTTTCTTTGTTAAATGGCATTTCAATATATAAAATAAATATCAAAAATATAAGTCTTTGTTTTACTATGGTTGCAAATATCAAAAAATTTCTATAGGTGACACGGCACCAGAGTTAAGTTAGGGTTTTTCAAAATGCTGACACGCCGAGCTCAAAAGGTTCGCCATCACTGAACTAGATGATGTCCCTGCAAGTCCTGGAGACTGTGCCCGGAGGGACTGATGCTGCAGCTGTGACCCTGATCTACCCACACTTAGCAGCAGCAGCAGCATCACTCCTGAGTGTCCCCCAGGTTAAAATACCCTTCAGGGCTGTTGTGCTGGACCTTTCTCCATAGCGAGGAGCCTCTAAGGTGCTAAGTTCCACTTCCCTCTGGTTTTGCCCACATCTGTCATTCAGGTTTCCAGCTAGTCCCCCTTTTCATGCTTCCTGTTCCTTCTTTATTCTCAGTGTGTTGCTCTTGGCATAAGCATTTGTGTGGATTTGTTCATAACAATTACCCTCTGCCTTGGGGAACATGTGGAATGTTTTAGGGAGATTTTTACAGAGTCTTGGGCTGTATTTTGATGGCTGGAAATTAACCAGAGAACTTCCGAAATCCAGGCTTGCTCACGGAGCTGTACAGCCTGAGGGTGAGCCCTTGCCGCTCCTGCTGCTGAGGTCCAGGCTGTGGGACCCGAGGACTTTTTGGGCTGCACCCCTCCTCTCTGACGGGACTGCTTTCAGCTTCGGGCGTTTTTATTATCAAGTCCTCTGGCCCTCTTCTCACCTCCCAGACACTGTTATTCTCCTTGGTTTCCTTTCTTTCTCACTTCAGTCCCTACCTCCTCCCCATGCCCGGCATTTCCTCCATCGTGGAAATCGCTCCTCCTTGAGCGGAAGGTGTCTGTCTGGCCCAGTGTTTGGGCCGCTTCCTGGAAGGACTCCTGGGTGGGGGTTGAGGTGGGTGGGTTTTGGTTCCCTTTGAAATGGCCTCAGCCATTCTGACTATCCTTTCTCTTGGAATGTAAATTGACAGGATGGTCAACTCCAGCAAATATCCTTTTGCTCAGCCCTGGTTGTAAAGACCTGGCCCATTTCCACATTTTAAACATGTTGATCATGCTTTTCAGATCATAAAGCCATGCTTGTGTCTTTTACTTTTAAATTTAAAATACTAAGGCCTGAGGAAAAT